GGTTTCAGTGACCTGGTGCTGCATTTGCGTGTGGACGAATGGCCAAACTGCGTAGAAAAAGCTGCGGTTTTGAAAATAAGTGCGTTCATGTGGACAGGGCCTTATACACTGCACCTTTAACCAAGAAACCAATACAAATTAAGCTACACTTAATGTATGTTAACGTCATGAAGATTTACAGAAGTATTGCTTACATTACATAATAAATGATGATAAGAATACTAATAAGTTTTTTTTTTTACTTTCTTAAAATGAAAGCATTGGGTTTTCTTTATAAAATAATAAATATGCATTCTTTTTATTGATGTCTATCCTCCCACATGCAGGTCAATATTCATGCATCATACAAAGGAATACAATACCATACATTCAGTGGCAAAACATTGTTATTAAACAATGCCCCAGTATTATTGTGGGTGATAAATATCGTGTTTTTCCATGTGATGGCAGCAGTTTCCAACTGAAATGTTCCATTGATGTTAGCTACCTTATTGAGTGGGTCATAGGTGGAACAGTACTAATTTCAGGTTGTACATATAAATTGTTGGTAATATATATATATATATATATATATATATATATATATAGCATCATTGTTTTTCTAAGAATTATTATTATTAGGGCCCGAGCCCTATTGATTTCCTTAGGATTATTAGGGCCCAAGCCCCGAAGGGAGCGAAAGGACCTATTGTTTTTCATTATTTATTTATTTATTTATTTATTTATGTCAAGGTTTTTGGGGCCCTTAGCATGCTCAAAAACCCATGAAAATTGGCACACACTTTGGTACACGGGCGTGGCAGAGGGCCTCTACAGTGTAGATGTGTAAAATACAACATTTTTGCATGTATACATATGAAACTTGGTACACATATAGATCTCATCGAGCCAAACAACTTTCGCACTTGATTGTCATAGGCTCCACCAACAGGAAGTTGGCTATTCAGGGTTTTGTGAAAAACACATGCTCTGGAATTTGATATACTCATCCTAGGTTTTTTATCCGATTGCCACCAAACTCGGTCAACATGTCCTCAAGACATTGGGGATGCAAAATTGTGAGGGGGTGTTTGATATCTCCAACGGTTTGTCCGTGGCGAGGCGTTGAAATTATGGCGAGAAATGAGAAACAGGTCTGTCTGATTTTGCTCAAATTTCAGCAGTTTATTCGTTCAAGGAGTCAGATCACATAGATGTGACTATAATGAGTTTCAGTCATAGCGCCACCAATTGGCAGCAGGAAGTATTACTTTTTTTTAAATGCTTTGAATGCACCCTCTTATATTTACCCGATTTGCTTCAAACTTCATCAGAATAGTGTAAAAATATGGCCGATGTAAATCTGTGAAGGGATTATTGATATTTTAAATATTGTTGCCATGGCAATGTGTCAAACTTTAATATTTTTTCTGGTGTTTTTAAAGCCCTTAACATGCTTAGAATTTCATGAAACTCAACACACACATCAGCATTAATGATAGATAGACACTGGCAAAAGCTCATAAATAGGCGTGGAGGAGGCACTCTATAGCGCCACCTTTTGTAAAAAGTGGGGAGGGGGGTTCGTTTTCCCTACAGCTACCAAACTCTGTATATATGTTGTTCTCCTAAAGCCGGACAACTTTCTAATAAACAGTCATTAGCTACGACCAACAGGAAGTCGGCTATTTTTATTTGAATGTGTGTTTTTTTTTTAAAATGTGTTTGTTGAGTGTGGGGGTGGGTGGGTGTTTGGGTGAGAGAGAGAGGGGGGAGGGTATATGTTATACTGACTCCAAAAAATATGGAGTTTAAAAACATGTTATACTGACTCCAAGCCTTTGAATGGTATAGTGTATAATGTTACAAAAGCTTTTTATTTCAGATAAATGCTGATCTTTATATTCATCAGAGAATCCTGAAAAAAAAAATGTACTCAACGGTTTTAAATATTGATGATGATGATAATAATAATAATAATAATAATAATAACAACAATAATAATAATAATAATAATAATAAATATTTATTGACCAGCAAATCAGCATATGATTTCTGAAGGATCATGTGACACTGAAGACTGGAGTAATGATGCTGAAAATATATATTTAATCAGATGAATAAATTACATTTTAAAATATATTCAAATAGAAAGTTAATAAAAAAAATAGTTTTTTTAAATAGTAAAAATATATTACAATTTTACTGATTTTGCTGTATTTTGGATCAAATAAATGCAGGCGTTGTGAGCAGAAGAGACTTCTTAAAAAAAAACACATTAAAAAATCTTACTGTTCAGAAACTTTTGACTGATTGTGTAACCTACTTTCTAATTTATAGGATAATCAATCGTTTAAGCCTGATCCTTTACTGCTCAGATCCATTAGCTAGAATGACAAACAAATACATAATACAAGTTAATATGTACTGTACTGGTAATATTGTAAAGTGTTACCAAAATTGTTAATGATCTATAAGCATTTGTGAAATATTTATATAAAACTATAAGGTCTCATTTGTTAACATTAGTTAATGCATTAACTAACATGAACTATCATCAAACAACATATTTTTACAGCATTTATTAAACATTTTTAATGTTAAGTAATAAAAATGTTCATGTTAATTCACAGTACATTAATTAATGTTAACAGATACAACTTTACATTTTAATAATGTATTAGATTTTTACTTAATATTAACTAACATTAATAAATGTTATATAACTATTGTTCATGTTAACTAATATAGTTAATGTTAAAAACTGAAACCTTATTGAATAGTCTTAGCAAAGTTTTATATATTGTTCCCTTTTTGTGTGTCTGTGTGTTTCACTCTCTTGATGTTATAGTGTAACCCTTTAATTGCTGTAACCCTTAAAACCAGACAGCCAGAGCTTTGCTGTAAATCCATGTGCACTGTTTTCCTGATGCCACCAGGGTGGCAGTTGCACTGAAGGCTTGGGCCTGTCATCGCTGCTTGCAGCTATATTTCTTCTTCATCTTCTAAGTTAATCACATTTTTGAAGGCCTAAACATGCTTGAAAACTCATGAAACGTTGCACACGTGCCAGAAGTGGCGAAAATGTATGTCTGATATAGGTTTTAGAAGTGGGTATGTCAAAATGGCTTGATAGCGCTACATATTCGCTTTCAATGAAGTGCCCCTCCCGCTACGTTTCACATACATGAACGAAAATCGGTACACACATGTAACACCAATACCTACAAAAAAGTCTCTTGGAGCAAAATCCCAAACCCAACAAGAATCTCTGCAATTTTTGTACCGGTTTTGCCATTTTCAGGTGTTGTATTTTAACAAACTCCTCCTAGAGATTTAATCAGATCAACACCAAATTTGGTCAGTCTAATCTAAAGCCCTTTGTGATGTTAAATTGTGAAGATCTTGAGTTTTCGTTGAAGAGCGTGTCCGTGGCGGCCTGACAAATTTCAGTGTTTTTGCCATGAAACAGGAAATTGATATAACTTTTGCATACAATGTCTGTTCTGCCCCAAACTTCACATGTTTGATAAGACTCCTGACCTGAAGAGACCTACATGCCCATATTCAGTTATAGTCATAGCGACACCTGCTGGCAACAGGAAGTGACATGTTTTATGCTGTAACAAACTCCTCCAAGAGATTTAATGACATCATCATTACATTTGGTCAGTCTAATCTAAAGGCCTTTGTGATTTTAAATTGAGAGGTTCTTGAGTTATTTAAAGGGCGTGTCCGTGGCGGCCAGACAAAATGTTATGTTTTGCCATGGAAAAGGAAGTTGTTGTAACTCAGCCATATAATATCCGATCTGCTACAAACTTCACGTGTTTGATACGACTCCTGGCCTGTACACAACTCAAGGCCAATATCCAGTTATTTTCATAGTGCCTCCTGCTGGCAACAAGAAATGACTTGTTTTACATTAACTTAAACAATGTCCGATCTGCCCCAAACTTCACGTGATTGGTAAGAGTCCTGGCCTGAAGACAACTACATGAAAATATGCAGTTATAGTTATAGCACCACCTGCTGGCAACAGGAAATGTCATGTTTTAAAAAAACATGCAATGTCCAATCTGCTCTAAATTTCTTGTTTGATAAGAGTCCTGGCCTGAAGACATCTAAAGACCAATATTCGGTTATAGTTATAGTGCCACCTGCTGCGAACAAGATATATCATGCTTTACACTCACTCAAACATGTGATGTCCAATCTGCACCAAACTTCATGTCTAATAAAAGTCCTGCCATGAAAACATCTACATGTCAATATTCAGTTATAATCACAGCACCACCTACTGGGAACATAAGTCATGGTATGTTTGAGTGAGTGTAAAACATGTTCAATCTGCACCAACCTTCACGTTTGAGAAAACTCCTGGCCTGAAGACATATACATGCCAACATTCAGTTATAGTCATAGCACCACCAGCTGGCAGCAAGAACTTTGGCACGTATAAATTACTTTGACATATTCCTCCTATATTTACTATTTTAAAAGCACATTGCCCACTGTTCGCTGTTTTCCTAAAGCCACCGAGTGGCGGTGAGCCCAGGTGCAAAGGGCCCTTTCAACGCGCTTGCAGCTTTAATTCAATCTGTGTCTACTGGCATTTGCATTCTTATGTTTACTGGCATTTGCATAATGGGTGTGATACACTATAAATTCAGTCTAAAATACTGACATACGTTTTTTTTTTGTTTTTTTTTCAGCATCACCACAAGCACTCTGTTTGGGTGAAACCTAAAGAACACAATCTATAAGAGACATCAAAAAGCAAGGACATTATCAAGGACATATTCTTGGAACTTTTTATTGTTTTCTTTCTCACATTCAGGGAAATGACCAGTTCAGGTTTCTCATCTCCAGATCAAAGTGATGATGAAGATAGTGATAGTTCTCAGAAAGGTTCTCTTGAAAGGTTAGTATACAGTATATGATATAATATAAGTTGTTAAATTTTTTTGAAGTAAATATTTATGCTTTTAGAAGCTTGACTTATTTCTTGCTATAAATTTATATATAAATTTATATATATATATATATATATGACCAGGCAACTGGCATATAAGCATATAATAGTATAATGGTAATAGTAGTAAGTACAATAGAAGTGGAGCTGTGGTGGAGCCGGAGCGACAGAGGACCAAGGTGGAGCTGGTGGACTGACGAGCCACATTGGAGAGGGAGTTAGGAACCATGGTGGAGCCGCTGGGTCGACGGGCCAAGGCAGAGTATGGGTCTCGGAGGTTGGAGGCGGAGACTGGGGATCCTTCGAGCACGGTGGAGCTGGAGACTAACAGATCCAAAGTGAATCTGCTCCACAGATGTAAAGCTGAGGATGAGCAGAGGTTCAGTTCAACACTGACCTCCATGGTTGTGACGGGACAAACAGACAGTTCCAAGCAGACAAATAGTTCAAAACAGACCTCCATGGTCATTTGAGGACAGACAGGGAGTTCATAAATGGCCTCCTTGGCCATAACAGGACAGGTAGAGAGTTCAAACAATGAAGGAAGAAGTACCTCAGAATAAAAGTCTACTAAATCTCCCAAGTCCTGTCTCAGATCACCCTCAGCGGTGGTACAGTGGGCGGACTTTTCTCCGTGCCCTCACACTCCACAGTCTCATCCACCGTAGTGTGCATTGTTGCCGGCTCTCGCACGTGTTCAGACGTCAAATTAGGCTCTTGCTCCGGGGCGATCCTCAGCTTTGTCGCTCCTCTTGGCGGTGGCTTGGCGGTTGCTGGCTCTCCGTCTGCAGTGGGCTCAGGCTGATGCTCCATGCAGCAGGGGGATGCTTGGCTGGGCACTGGGTCGGGAGTGGGGCTGGTGTCATCACCCGCAATGTCCACTGTGAGCAGCGATCTACAGGACACCAGCACCTACTCCACAAATGTGGCAAATTCCCCCTGCTAAGCACAGAGCATGGTGATGGCGGCAAAATGATCCATAACAAAAAACAAAAGAAACAATGACCAAAACCACAAAAAATAAACGAGGTAAATAATGCCACTAATATGCTTTTACTTTTTAAGGTCGGCTAGTCTGTCACGCTTACGTGCTGGAATGAAGACAGAGAGCGCACGGCGAAGAAGGTAATCTTAATTCTTTCAATAAATTCACAAGAAATTAAGGAAACGTCCACACACATAGGGTAACCAAATACAACAGCCTACAAATGCCAGAACAGAGAGGGGAACTTAAGTAGGGTGACTAACGAGGGACAAACAGGTGAACTGAATAAGGCAATCAAGAGGAGAAGGAACTAGGTCAATGAACAAACTAAGGCGGTCCACACGATCGCGGGTATTTTCAAAACCGCAGCTTTTTCTATGTGGTTTGGCCGTTCGTCCACACGCAAACGCAGCAGCAGGTCACTGAAACCGAACATTTTGTAAAACTTCTGCCAGGGTGAAGATTTTCAAAAACTCCAGTTGCAGTGTTATCGTGTAAACAACGAAACTGGAGATTTTGGCTTGTAAAGTCGGAGCATGCGCTGTTATCTCCGCCTACTGGAAAAGTAAAAAAGATGCTGTTCAGGGATGTTCAGGACAAGAAAAATGAAACAAAGGTAAAAGTGACGTGCTACAAAAAGCGCCCACATGCACAAGTAGCATTCAGTAATCATAGATCACTAGCAGTGTTGGGGGTAACGCATTACAAGTAACGCGAGTTATGTAATCAGATTACTTTTTTTCAAGTAACTAGTAAAGTAACGCATTACTTTTTTAATTTACAAGAAAATATCTGAGTTACTTTTTCAAAAAAGTAATGCCAGTTACTTTGTTTTCCCATTTACATGATGTTTGAACATGATGTTACTGTAGTTCTAGACTAAATGTGAATGTGCATTAATTCATCCCACTCACAAAAAACAGATTTAGTATTCATCAAAATGAATTAAAACAGTGAAATGCAAACTCAGAATATGACGCAAACCTGCAATAATTAAATATGTTAAATAACACAAATGTATCTAATCCCATTTTATTAACCAATATTTTTGCTGCTGACCTTTGATGATCCAGTTCAACCATACTAATAAGCAAAAATGACTTTAGAGAAACTAACAATTGTGCTTTGTTTTTTTATTGCTGAAGAGTGTTTCTTCTCCTGCGTTCTACTGTACAGACGTGAATTTACTTTTGCTTCAGCCTGAGGTTTATTCATTACACTTTTTGATGTGAAAGGGCTTTTATATTAGCTATAAATAGAACTTCTTATATTAAAAACAATCAAACCCTGCTTATATTTAAAAAGTAACGCGAAAGTAACGCAAAAGTAATATAACGCATTACTTTCCATAAAAAGTAACTAAGTAACGCAATATTGTAATGCATTACTTTTAAAAGTAACTTTCCCCAACACTGCTCTTGACAGTGCAATGGCATGCTTTTGCGTTTTCATGTGGACATATTTATTTTAATTGTTTTTTTTAAACGAAAGAAGGAATAACTCAATTTATACACTGAACAAAATTATAAACGTGGATGGATTATCTCGGCAAAGGAGAAGTGTTCACTAACACAGATTAAGACAGATTTGTGAAAAGTATTTGAGAGAAATAGGCCTTTTGTGTGCATAGAAAAAGTCTTAGATCTTCGAGTTCAGCTCATGAAAAATGGGGCCAAAAGCAAAAGTGTTGCGTTTATAATTTTGTTCAGTGTAAAAATACCCATGTACGTGTGGACTAGGCCTTAGTCTCTAGAGGGATTCTGCTGTTATTTATTCAATCTTTGTGGACGTCTACCGGATGTTAAGTTTGGGCCACAAAAGCACATGTGCAATAACGTTTGTTTATTTTGTTGCCGTTAAAACTGTCTATAAGACAACTCCTGTTTACTTTTTTGCGGTTACCATGACAACACTGTTTGAGATATCCAACAACTGTTTGAAACTTAGGTTCCTCAGTGTTTTGGCAACGTGTGGACAAAGTTTAGTGTAAAACTTATGACAGCAATTCGAGGAGAATATAGGTTAAGTATTTTAAAGTTTGAAGCATTGACATTGCAACAGTATTTAAGATATTAAGAATCCCTTCGCCCTTTTTTTTTACACTTCCTGCTGTCAAAATAAGTATCACATAGATTAGACTCAAAATTACCTCATTTATGTGATTGGCCTCCTTCAATGAACAAACTACTGAAGTTCAAAATCAGCCAATCTATGATGAAGTTACAACACACATGCTGTGCATCTTCAATGTCTTGAGATCATATTGACTAAGTTTGGTGGTGATTGGATGAAAAACCTAGGACGAGTATATCAAAATTTCACAATTGTTTTACAGTGTAGTTTTAAAATCGATCTAATGTAATGATTAATGAAAAAGGCTATTTTTCATTGGTCAGCGAATGATCCACATGACACAGGTTAATGTTTAAGAGTTTTATGCTGATTTCATTGCTGAGCATTACAACTTCTCACACAGGCAGGAAGAACATGATGCAGCATAAGTAAGATATTGCATCAGTCAAATATTGAATTTAAAATACAATAAACAAATAAAAGAGAAACTATGTATGAAAGGCCAAACACTGAAAAAAATACAGTACAATGGGATTTTTCCTTTACATATGTACATCTATCTTTACAGTCAGAAAATGAGGGGAGAGGTTCACAGTCATTTAGAAGAGAGCATTCGTCCATACATTGATCTGATTGACACTCTGCGGTCAGTTGGCATTCATAAGGACTTGGCGTTACCGACTATTGTAGTGATCGGAGACCAGAGTTCTGGAAAAAGCTCTGTGTTGGAAGCGCTGTCTGGAGTTGCGTTACCAAGAGGGAGTGGTGAGGACTAATTTAACTCTTCTTTGCTATTGGATATTCATACACACTCAGTGACCACTTTATGCACACCTCTCTGATATTTTTTTTCTATTGGTTTGTCTGAGATCAGTTGACTAAGCCCAGATAAAAAACAAGTAGGGCCCTGGGACTGTGTTTTCTATGACTACAACAGAATTAAAGCATAAATGCATTAATGCCAAATACGAGATAAAAGCAAACAGGTTTCCAGAAATAGCAAACAACTTTTGCTTTAGGGCATTTGAAGAAAGGACAGAAACAAATAATAACATAATCGTGAATATACTGCAAATGCATTTAACAATATTAATATTCCGGTAAGACTTTACATCAAGGTGTCATTGTTCATGTTAGTTAATACCTTAACTAATGCTAACAAAACAATGAACATTGCTTTTATTACACTGTATTTATTAATCTTTGGTAAAGTTAGTTAATAAAAATAGTTGTTCATTGTTTATTCATGTTAGTTCACAGTACATTAACTAATGTTAACAAACACAACTTGTGATTTTAATAATGCATTAGTAAATGCTGTAGAAGTATTGTTCATTCTTAGTTCATGTTAACTAATGAACCTTTGTATTACAGGTGCTTAATTATTGAATTAATATTTTACTTAAACTAAGTTTTATTAGAACGTTATTAGAACTATTAGAACTAAATTCTCCTCTGCAGTTTCCTTCATGAAAATCTACTGCAGTTCTTGAATCCAGAGTTAACTGTAGTATTGGTAATATTATGATTCAGGCAAAAGCCATGCTCCTCATTACCAAGGTTTTATGGTTTCTATACCAACAATAAAACCCATAATAATAATAATAAAAACAGTCTAACATAATATCTTGCTGGTCAAGGGGTGTTGCGACTCAGATGGATGGATCACTTGTCACATAATTTTCCACTTTTAGTTTTCTGTTGATTGCTAACTGTTTCTGTAGGAATTGTGACCAGATGTCCATTAGAGCTGAGGCTGAAGAAGGTACCAGGAGTCAACTGGAAGGCTGTTTTAACTTACGATAAGAAAACAGATGAATTCGTGAATCGTTTTGCAGGTTAGTAGTGCTGCTTTGCAGCGTTTGGTTTTCTTAACTGGAATGGTTTCTTTCAGCTGGATTGAAATTATTGTTTTTACAACTGGATTTAAACCATGTTTTGTTGCAGGTCCTATTAAACCCAGCAAACTGGTGAGTGGAAAGGTAGCACAGTCAGCTCCCAATGAGAAGAAAATTGAATTTGCAGATCCTTCATTAGTTGAAGAACATGTTGCAGCAGGTTAGTAAGACTGGAAAACTCTTTTCTTTTCAGTGTTACTGGTATATAATAAAAATTATCAAAATTTCAAAATGAAGTCACAATCAGTAACTGTGTATATATTTATTTTGTCTTATAAAATGCATTTGTCTTATAGTCTTGGATGATGATTTGTCAATTCAGCATTCCAATTCACCATATCACTGTGCAGAAGCCATAGCATATCAGTTTTTTTGTTTTTGTATAGCTACATTCTGGTATATGAGGTACTGTATCACTTCTGTATTAATTGTACTCTTTATACCTGTTGTTAGTATGTTGCTAAGCTAACAATGTATAAGCAGTACACAATTATTGGGTAAAATAGTCAAACTATTCATGCTTTTAAAGTACTGAATGAAATATACATTCAGTTAAAGTCTCAAACATTTAGCCTCTTCACAATGGCTTGTCTACGATAAATTATTCTGTTTGTGTTTTACAGCCCAGAATGAGCTGGCAGGAAAAGGGGTAGGAATATGTGATGAGCTCATCACTTTAGAGATCATGTCACCAGATGTGTGTGACCTCACACTGATCGATCTGCCTGGAATTGCCCGAGTCCCAGTAGAAGGACAACCGGAGGATATTGGAAAACAGGTGGGTCATTTAATCTGATCTTGCACACCACATTTATTATCAAAGTAGTATAAGTACAGTTTTTAAACTATGTCTATGTCTTGTAGATAAAACGTCTGATCATGAAATATATTAAGAAACGTGAGACTATAAACCTGGTAGTGGTCCCTTGTAACATTGACATTGCAACAACAGAAGCCTTAAAAATGGCACAAGAAGTAGATCCTGAGGGCAAAAGAACTGTGGGTAATGAAGCAGATGATCTGCACAACATCTAATATCTCACCAAATGTCTTACAGCACGTTTGTCAGCAAATTTACTTTTTATAAAATAACTATTTCTCATTCTCACAGCCATTTTGACCAAACCAGACCTCATAGACAAGGGAACAGAGAAGAGCGTTCTGGCTATTGTCCACAACAAAGTGATTCCTCTCCGCAAAGGTTACATCATGGTGAAGTGTAGAGGACAACAGCAGATCAATGATGAAATTCCTCTAGAGGCGGCAGCACAAATGGAGAGAGATTTCTTCCAAAACCATGACTATTTCAGGTTACAGAAAAAAAAAATTATTTATTTATTTTGCATGTATTAATTTTTAATTTAAAATCATTTTGATTTTTTTTTAGCCTCATAAAGTAAAAGGGTTACAGCTGTCCTGATAATAAAATGAAGAAAAAAATATGTTAAAATAATGGAATTAATGAAAAGAAAACCTTAAGTCATAACCTTAAGGCATAATCTTTTATTATTAATTTGTAATACACACACATACAGTATATATATACATACACGTATAAGACTTACATGAGGCAGGGTTAGTACAGAGTGTAAATGTTATATGGTAAAACTCCCCCAAAACCTAATGATATTGTGATTTTTTTTTTTTTATGTATGTGTGTGTGTGTGTGTGTGTGATGTTCACTTTGGCCATTATGTTTTTCTTTTCTATCAACAGTAAATGAACTAAAATAAGCCACCTTGCAAAAAGTGCCTTCTCTTTTTCTACAGATGCCTCTTGGAAGAGGATAAAGTGACTATTAAATGTCTTGCCATCAAACTGACTCAGGATCTTGTTGATCATATCAAAGTAAGTTTCTAAATGTCTCAAAAGTCCTAAATTTAGTGAACTGCACTTTCTGGCTGGATGAACTGAGATACTATAATTAAACTGTGTTTTGCTTATCTTTGTCAGAATTCACTGCCACCGCTCCAGCAGCAGATACAAAAACAGCTGTGTAGTGTGAAGAGAGCACTTCATGACTGTGAGGCTGGACCTCCAGAAGACCTTGAGGGAGCTAAGGAATTCCTCATTGAAGTAGGACCTCAAGACATCAAGTCTTCTTACAGTACTTCTGAGAATTATCATTAGGGTCCAGTCTGCTGGAACCATACAAGAGCAAATGCACCAAAACATTTCTTGGACAAAATAAATTGATCACAAAATGCATATTTTGTTTAAGAAATCTGCTGCTCCTTAAAATCAATAAACTCAAAAATGTCATGTCAAAATTGTGAGTTGTAATTCAGATTGTGAGAAAAGTCAGAACTGGTTAAAACCTCACAACTCGGAGAAAGAATATGTCTTAACTGCAAGATATAAACTTCCAATATGAGTTTGCAATTATGATTTAAAATGTTGCAATTACCTTAATATCAAGTAATTTTTATTTTTTTTTTACTAGCATGGCTCATTCTGATTCATTACGTGTTCTGTGTGAACAGCCCCTGAAAATGCTCTCTGTTCAGATAATACCTCTTTCACCTTTCCAACAAGTCCTGTATAGTGATAATGTAACAGGCTCATGAAACACACACACACACACACACACATATATATATATACACAACAAGATCACATACACATAGTGTTGCGTTTATAATTTTGTTCAGTATATATATACACACACACATACACACATATATATATATATATTATTATTATTTTTTTTAATTTTTTTTCTCACAGACCTTAAACGGATTCAATGAGAAAATCAAGTCTCTATTATCAGGAGAGCCGAAGAATGGGAAAAGTTTGTTTTTCCAGATTCGTGCTGAATTCAGGAAGTGGAATGATTATCTTAACAGTGCAAAGCCATCCTGTGAGTATATTTTCACATTTGAGAAGCACAAAGTTCTAAAGAAAATTAAAAGGTCACAATAAATCCATATTGTTTCCAAAAGTTAACAATTCAAAAGAGTTGAGCGAGAATTACAGAGGGAGGGAACTGCCTGGCTTCAGCAACTACATCGTTTTTGAGAAGATTCTGCAGGAACATGTGGCCAAACTTAAGGATCCAGCCATTGATTTACTCAATGCCATAAAAGGTACCATCACACATTTGTGTTTAAAGACTTTGTGGCCATTGTGGAGAGTCTCCATTATAAAACCAAAAGATTAGATCTAGAACTGAATGAGTAATAGTTTTGCATATGTGAATCGTGGCTATTTGTCATTTTGATTTATGTATTTTTTCTGAAGATATCATCATTAAGCAATTCACTGACGTGGTGAGTGAGTGTTTCCAGAACTATCATGTCCTTCAAAACATCACCGAGGTAAATAATACCCTTCAATTGCTCCTCAAATATTGCAAAGATGGTTGATTTTTAGTCCAGTTTGATCAAGTTTTCTTTCCTTTGTACTTCCTTACTTGATTCTATAGGACAAAATCAACGACATTCAACTTAACCAACAAGAAAAGGCAGAGCAGAGGATCTCAGAGCAGTTTAAAATGGAAAACGGGATCTTTACTCAAGATCTCATTTTCCTGAAGGTCTTGAGTGAGAAAACAAACCAGACTTTTTCAGAAAAGGAGTTACCTGTCTTTGACAAACAATGCAAGTACAGTCAAATGCTGGAGGCGTATTATGAGGTAGATCTTAGTTTTCAGTAACACAAATTGCACTGTGCTTGTGGTGTGAGGACGTAACATCTCTTATTGTTTTCTTTCAGATTGTGGTGCAGAGATTGGCTGACCAACTGCCCTTGATGATCACCTTTTACATGTTGCAGGAGACTGCTCGGCTCCTGTCTATTGACATAATTAAATTATTGGAAAAGCCAGATTTGCAGAAGCTCCTGTCTGAGGACCCTGATGTCAGCAGAAGGCGCAGCGACCTAAGAGCTCGCCAGACTCGTTTGACTCATGCTGCGAAAGCAATTAGCAATTTTTTGAATGACTAGAGGATATATCTGAAAATACAAGATTAACATCAGATACATTAGATGTAAAGTATCTGACATCAACTGTCCAACCATCCATTTTTCACGCTTGTTCAAGCGTTGCAGGATTTGACCATTTAACCCACAACTTTCTTCAGCTTGTTAATATTTTTTGATTGTTATAATATATACATCCATTAATCTGCATCTTATGCACCTATTTGAATGTTTCCAAGTAGTTCAGCAAGGCAGCACTTTGTATACAAGTCACATCTATGGGCTCAAGTAGGGCAGACACATACATTTTGTTTTCTAAATCATCTGGAAGTATCAGTGCTTTGACTACAGTACATTATTTTTTCTTGTGATCTGTTGAAAATTAAAATCACTTTTTCCCTATTGATTGAACTGCATGCGTGTGTGTTTTTTCTCAGTATAATAATATTAAATGTAATGTCGTTTACAACATAATGTATCTAATTAACTACTTCAGCTACTGCAAAGTTTGGCTAGATCTTTTATTAGTCTCACCAAGGCAGTGTTAACTAGCTAGATGACAGACTAGGTTTAACATAACATTTAAATATTTTTTTGGCTAATATAAAATATGCTACAAACAAACGTAATATTTTGAGGCCAGTGAAAATTATTGCAAGGCACGCAAAAGACTGTTTGCACTGATGCAGTGAATGCCATTCAATCACTGTACAGTTCACTGTAGTTCATAGAGTACAGTACATTAAGTAGAATACATATTTAAATAGTAAGCTATTTATTCCCACCAAGTTTAGGCTTATGAAATAAATTTGCTGAACATTTAGGGTCTCACAAAATCAGAACTATGATTTTCTATTATCCTTCCCACAATCAAAGATCAATAGACTCACAGGGCTCTATTTTAACGATCTAAGCGCATGGACTGAAGCGCATGGCGCAGGTGCACTTAGGGCATGTCCGAATCCACTTTTGCTAGTTTAACGTAAAACCAATCAGAGTCTCATCTCCCATTCCCTTTAAAAGCTAGTTTTGCTTGGACCATGGCGGATTCGCTATTTACACGGCGGAATTTGCAAGAGCAAAGACTGAACACTGCTCCAGAGAGGAAATGGATCTGCTTGTGCACGAGGTTAAACCGCATGAGCAGACCATCTACGTGACAAGCCGGATTCCATCAAAGCCCCCTGAGGTGAAGCAGGCGTGGAAGTACAAAATAATCATCTTTTATATTATAATCCTTTCATTTTTTAAATTTGGTATATTTGTGTGCCGCTGCGTGTCCCTGTCCCTCTGTGCGTAATAAGCAGAGTGTACGCGAGTTGTGGATCCGCCTATAGGTGAATATTACTAACGCGCCCTTTAAATAAATAAAAAGAATACTGCAATATTGACTTTAGACCAGGTTTTAGTTGGTCAATGATACAATTATTTTCAGTTGCCTCGAAATAGCAACACGCCAACAATGCGCCTGAACACATCTGTTTTTCAGATCAGCACGCCCATGGACGAACAAGATGGGTGTAAGTGCATTTGCTATTTAAAAAATGTGGCGCTGGATGTGAAAATGATAACTGCGTTGGGCTGAAACTAGCAAAAAACTAATGCGTCGCGCCTGGTGTCGCATTGCGCCGGGTGTATGTTAGGGCCCATAGGCTAATAGGAGTTAATATGTCTCTGTGAGTCCATGTAATGCAAGTGAATGTTTGACAAAAGTTGACATTTAAAAAAAACACACAAAAATAACACTACAGTAACCCATACGACTGCAGTGGATGAATCAGAATCTTCTAAAGTGAAATAATAGGTGTTTCAGAAAAATGCTAATATTGTAAACTTTAACTATATAACTTTGCTTCCCACTGTCCATCCATGCTACATCAGCACATTGTGAAGTCAAGTAAAGTCACCATTATTTATATAGCGCTTTTTGCAATGCAGATTGTGTCAAAGCAGCTTTACAGTATTAAACCGGGAAATAGTGTGTCAATAGTGTGCCGTTCTCCTCTGGCCAGATAAAACCAGCAGTTTATTTCTAGGTTGCAGCAAAGTCAGATTGTGCAGAGGACTGATCTGCGGATCTGCTTGTGCACGGATCCCATGGTTCCCATGGTCTTGTCCTGATGGCCGTCTAGGTGACAAGGTCTTTACTGGGGATCTGTCTCTGGGTCTAGACTAGATCAACTAGACAAGCTCGACAAAATTGGTTGATTATCTGATCATGCTTGTTGTTAAAACATCATGTTTGATTGTCAAGCAGAGATCGGTGTGTAAATGTTGTCTGGTGTTTCTCTGCAGAATCGATAGAAGAAGCCTCTGTGGAGCAGCTGGTTTTTAGCATGTGTTTGCTCCTCACCAGCAACACAAAATATATTGTGGGAGCCTCACTAGATTTTTTAAAACTGCTCCTGTTTTGTCTGGACCAGCAGCGTTTATCCAGTCATCTCTCTGCCATTGTATGTGTGTGTTTTCAGAGTCCATTAAAGTCACCTTGATGTTGTTTGCTAAATTTGCAGATCAACAGCATAAGTAGCATTTTAACAGAAAATTGTTTTCTTTCAAAAATGAAATCCATTTACACAAAATTGATTGGGAAGTTGGGTAAGTTAATGGCTACAGAAACACTAGTCTTCTGATGCGTTTCTTCATAGATAGAATTTATGTATTTTGAGTCCGTCTTTCCAATCTTTGTATTTTTGTAGTGTAAAACGTGTTCAGATTTGAGCTGGTGAAGGCATTTTGGAGGACGATGACGCAGACTATGATGTTGTCTACCATATTGGGAAAGCTACAGTTCTGTGAAGCCTCCAAACGTTACGGTGCACAAACATCATCGCCCTCGAGACCAAGGTACGGCTGCTCAATTCAAATCAAAGGCAGCCCTGTTTATACACTTTAAACCTCATACTGCTTCTGTTGTATTCGAGTATTTCTCAAATATAATACTAAAGTGTTTCTCGTACTTGGTTTTAGCCGCTAGTGGAGGGAAGCAGAGGCTCATATGATCACCTGACTCACCACCAGCTGCTTGCTTTAATTCTGGAGAAACATGCAAAAGAGAAGATGAACTTCAGGACTACATAGACAATATGCTGGTACATGTCATGGAGCAAATGCCTGAGCTGCTGGAGGTCCTTCCTATAAGAGTATTGTGTTTTAAATAAATGGTATTTTAAACAGAATAAAAATATTTTGTACAGAATCAGTCGTGTAACCCTTTTATCTGCATATTTTATCACTGAAAAAAAAACTATTCTCAGTTTTACGTCACCAGCAAAGTGTTTGCTGAATCTTCATTAGATCTGGAGGATCTGCTGTGACTCACTGCTTTCTCTGTCTTGCTCTCTGTCAGATTCACAGTACAGGTCTGTATTACGAAGGATGAGTTTTTGGAGATCTGGACACAGCCAGAAACAAGACGCGTGAGCCGTTACATGTGCCCTACCTGTTAAAAAAAACTAAAAACGTGTGTATAAGAAACTGTTTATCAAAGTTTCCCCTTTTCTGTTTTTAATAAATCAATGGATTTTTACATTTTTACACTGTTTTAAACCCAAAGAAGACCAAATCCCCACGGCACCCAGCGAGCATGGTCCAGTCCCATTGAATGTGAATTTTTATCTTAATGTAGTAATTTAATAATATAATAATGTAGTGATGATAATAAAAAAATTTTTTGTCATGTCTGTCTGGTTCTGGTCTAATATGGCTAGTTCAGAGCTCAAAACTAGATTTATAATCTAATGTTTACTTTTGTTTGATCTATTTTTGGAACTTTGTGAAGCATGATTCTACTTTAGATTTATTCAGTGAGTTATGTTCACGTTCTAAAAGAAGGGTTTTATTTTTTTTCCAAAATATGATGTAAATGTATTTCCTAGGAATAAAATGTATATGGGACAAAATAACTGATTTAAACACTTTAACATGTATTTATTTTTTAAATGTATTTTTTAGATGCACATAAATGAGTATACAAAATATTCAAACAAATATTATTTGGCCCTTTTTTTCCCAATTCCTAAGCTGAACCAGAGGCTGCGTCCAAAACCGCATATACTTATTTGCTCGCCTACTGCTTTTTGCCTACTATATAGTAGGGAAGTATGTTTGGTTCCTCAGTATTCATAAAAGAGTAGGCAAAAATTGCACATACAAAATATTCAAACAAATATTATTTGGCCCTTTTTTTCCCAATTCCTAAGCTGAACCAGAGGCTGCGTCCAAAACCGCATATACTTCCCTACTATATAGTAGGCAAAAAGCAGTAGGCGAGCAAATAAGTATGTTTGGTTCCTCAGTATTCATAAAAGAGTAGGCAAAAATTGCACTAATTCTCGCGAGATTCGGATGTATGTATACTTAATTTGTGTTCAAATATGCCTACTTACTATATAGTAGGGGGGAAAAAACAAAGTAGTACGTTGGAAACCTCAGTATTCATAAAAGTGTAGGCGATAAATCCCTGGATGTCCTACTGCTTCAGCCCAGATTCTGATGTGCTCATCGATGGACACTTTTCTATCGGGAGAAGATACGTCATCATTGAACGTGATGGAGAACAGCGACGAGGGTGTTTACAAATGTGAGTATTACAAACCAAAAACACGGTTCCTTGTGTTAAAATCGTATTTGTTGAGCTACTGTACAGTAGAGTAAACTGTTCAATTGTTGAAGGTGTAAGACATTAGACAGTACAGTATATTTGTGATTTTGCTGTAAAAACATGTTTTAGATGTATAGCGAACAGCAGAGCTCCAGTAAGCACACGTACGTCACCAAAGTGCATTTACATAGACATTTAGTAATCATCTTTAAGATGTATATAGTTTTCAACATCTGACAGGAAAATGTTCTAAAAGAAATGCAGATGGGCACATCACAACATGAACAGACATCCGAGCGAGTGATGTGTGCTATTATGTAGAATTCACTGTTTTAGATGAATGTAAATAATGTAAATAAACAAATCTACATGAAGTAACTAAACATGGAGTTATCTATTTTATTTGTCCATTACTGTTGATAAATTGAGGAGCATTTATTTTGGATAAAAAGCGAGCTAACACAACATTTCAATATAATATTGATCACATAAATCACAGAGGTAACTTGACTCTTGTCTGGATGTCACAGAAACAGATGAGACACACGTTTATTTTCTGTCTGAGCTTGATGACAAACATTTTATATGCTACCATTGACTTACATTGGGCATTAGTTTACAATAACACCTACAAATTCAGTTCAAATATAGATAGAGTTTAATATCTGGTAAGTGGTTCCCATCTATGGCTTTAATATTTCAAAAATAATAGATTTTATATAATTTTGTAGAATTCC